CCGCCATCTCTTAATATGGTTCGTAAATCGTGTATTTAGTGCGGTTTTCGCTTGCGATCGTACTTGTGATGAGGCCCGTAAGAAAAAAATAAGAAATGAAGACAACGACTCTTAGAAAGAACTGGGTGCAACAACGAAATAAATCTCTTGGTGAGACCCTTGTTTTAAAGGCGGACAAGTCACGGCCATTATCATAATTTGTTCAAAGAATTGTGACCCCATGACCACAGTTGGTACGGAATTGTGGGGAAAATCCTCTTCGGCTTTTGTTTTACGAATCTTGTCATTTCCGTGTATGCAGCCTTCTAAACTTTTTAAGATTACCAATTGAAGCGGGTTCTCAGCTCATAGGCGCTGATTTTCATTGTTTTTCTGTTTTTCGTATATTTGCCGATTTCTTTTTTCATAACTTCGTCGTGGAGAAGATTCTTTCACTTAGAGAGGCACATGAACGTTTTTTAACCTTCAGTATCATCTTGAAGCCTGGTCCATCAAAAAATACATAATGAGTATAAAATGAAGCTAACTGTGAACAGGAACTCTTTTTTTCACTTATGAGTTCAGTATAGAGATTTATCGAACAAGCACGAACAGAAAACAAAGACTGGGAAGTTCGAGGGATGAGTTATGGAAATTGAGGCCGACAAAATGTGGGTTCAAACGCAGGTTACCTTAATTGTCGAACGTTCGTGTAGATCAGTTTCAGTTCATGTAAAGTTTCATATCTTTTATAATATATATAGTGTCCTGATGAAAACTAAAGGGTAGTTTGTTGTTGTCAGTGTTTTTTCGGCTTGACCGTTGAAATCCAGAATAAAGATAACTTATCGCTGACAGCTCATATATGTCAGCTATCAGTTTCGAACGCAAATGCCTTTGTGACTAGATTTGGATATTAGCCACTATAGCTGAACATTCGCCATGTTCTTCTTCTTGCGTTTTACTAATCAAGAAAAAGTCGAGACCCATAAAACTGAACGCAAAAATGATGATAATAAAAAACAGACCATTATCCAGCCATGTATGTTCACCTCATGCTCGGTCAATAAAGCCGGAATAGACTTGAGAATTAACAAATAAACTCTGGAAGCTCCTCGTGCCTTTCTTTGTTTTGACTACTGAATTCAAGACGTATTTGTCACTCAATTGCTGCCAAAATCACTGGAAACATTCTTCCCTCTGACATAGAAGTTGGGAAGAATTTGGAGTTTGGACCATCAGTTTTGTGGGAAAAAAACGGGCAGGCCCAAGCAGGAAAGATGGGCCCATATTGTCAATCACAACAAAGGATTTGCTTCACCTTGCTCCCTTGTGGAACCCGCTGACAATGATTAACATATTAATTAATATATACAGTTAGCTTACTGAATACAATCAGCATTAGCTGAGCTGTGTCTAACTGGAATACAAACACTCAGCCCTAGCAGCCACTAATTTATTACAGCACGGCGCAAAGTCAATGAGATCTAGCTGAACATAAAAATCAACATACATGTACCGATTTATTTCGTTACAAACATTAAGCTTTCGTGAAACCAACAGCCAGTATCAGTCTAACGCAGTGTAGTGGCAGTCATATCCAGTCAGATCTCTTAACACCGCCTTTCCGCTTGTCAACAATACGCTTTCAGTAAGTGATGTGCGCTGATATATTCCTTTTTGTTTTCCGCCAACTTTCTCCGAACGCTTAGACAAACTCAGACCTGCCTAATTGATTTAAGACGCTGAATTGCATCACCCGACAAACTCTCAAATGTTTATTTTCATTAACATTTCCGGCTTGCAGTCATAAGAAACCGCGAAGTAAAATCCCTTCTTTAAAAAAAATAATAACTCAAGAATTTCGCGGTGGAAATTATAAAAAAAAAAAAAACAGCCGTTCATCTCTGATCAAACTTGGCAAAACACACGTCCCTCTGTAATCTGAAACATAAAATCAACACCTCTGTAATGCGGATGACCTTGAAGCTTTGGAAACCCGTCATTATTTACTTTTTTCCTTGATTGTTGACACCTTAACTGACTGCAACGTCAAAGGGGGTACGTCATTGAAACTTTTAACAAAAGGGAAGTTGTTGTAAAAGATAAGTTACCACGCCGTTTAAAACAATGAAAAGCAGCCAGACTTAAAAGTTTGCCTTGCGCCTCCCAGCCGTTTGTGAAAAAACACGAAAAAAATTACATTTATTGCAGGAAATATATTTATATTTTTCTATTGAATATATTTGGGAACGGAGCAGCAACCTCTCAAGGACTTTGGCTCTTCTTCCATCGACAGATTATTAAACTTTATCTTTTTGAAAAAAGATAAAGTTTTCAAATGGAAATGAATATTTTCCGCTTTTTTCTTGAGTTCGTTATATTAGGTACAGACCCCAATATCTTGTATTTTTAAAATGTGCAGCTCTTTCCTTCTCTTTTGATTGTTAGTTTTTTTGTAGAGAGAATAAAGACGTTGACATTTTTTTTCGTTTTATAACATCCTAAGCGCCCCTCGAGGATATACCAAGCAACTCCAACTTCACGTTCGTGATGAAAACCGTAAAGCGTCATTGAATAAGAGTCACAGAGCTTAGAGATAATGAGACGATTTAGACTCAAAATCTTACCGACAAAAAAATTAAACTTGACATCACTTGACAGTTAAAGAAAAAGAAATAATAGCAAAGTTCGTGAGTAAAATAAATTTTTAACATCAAGTTAAATTTGAAGACGCCTTGAAACTGAAATGTGCATAATTTGTAAGGTTTCTTTGTGTTTTTCCCGATAAGAGTACTAATAAACAGAAAACACCTGAAAGAAGTGAACTTCGTGTGATAATCCAAATGTAGACAACGTTGAGAATCTTAGAGGCAAAAAAATCCGGAAAATCTTAATACCGCCGTTCAACCCAGAAACGATTTTTTTCTAATGTGGACTCTTGGGAAAATGTCATGTCAGCAGTTAACTGTTCTGCTGATCTGGCTGTTGTTCTATGTCGATTATGTACAAAGATCAGGAATGCCCAGTCGTCTAACAATTCATGTGAGAGTCGAAATATTTCACCAAGGACAAGAATGATTGTGTAACATCCCTGATAGAAAGCTGTCTACATGCTTTGCGATTCCCAAGGGAAATCATTGCTCTATACCTTATGTTTCCAACTGTTAAACGACGGAGTAAATCCATGTCTCTTCTACCTCGACATTTATATACCAGTGTTATTTATAACCAGGTAGATATGTCATTTCCGCAGCCCTCGGGTAATACCCAAATTGACTTAAGTTCATCAACAGCAAGGTTACCTAGGATGTGGCCTAGGTAACTCTGTCTGTTCTTGACAGTTAAAGAAAAAGAAATAATAGCAAAGTTCGTGAGTAAGATAAATTTTCAACATCAAGTTAAATTTGGAGACGCCTTGAAACTGAAATGTGCATAATTTGGAAGGTTTCTTTGTATATTTCTCGATAAGAGTACTAATAAACAGAAAACACCTGAAAGAAGTGAACTTCGTGTGATAATCCAAATGTAGACAACGTTGAGAATCTTAGAGGCAAAAAAATCCGGAAAATCTTAATACCGCCGTTCAACCCAGAAACGATTTTTTTCTAATGTGGACTCCTGGGAAAATGTCATGTCAGCAGACAACTGTTCTGCTGATCTGGCTGTTGTTTTATGTCGATTATGTACAAAGATCAGGAATGCCCAGTCGTCTAACAATTCATGTGAGAGTCGAAATATTTCACCAAGGACAAGAATGATTGTGTAACATCCCTGATAGAAAGCTGTCTACATGCTTTGCGATTCCCAAGGGAAATCATTGCTCTATACCTTATGTTTCCAACTGTTAAACGACGGAGTAAATCCACGTCTCTTCTACCTCGACATTTATATACCAGTGTTATTTATAACCAGGTAGAAATGTCATTTCCGCAGCCCTCGGGTAATACTCAAATTGACTTAAGTTCATCAACAGCAAGGTTAGCTAGGATGTGGCCTAGGTAACTCTGTCTGTTTTTTCTTTTCGTTTTGTATTTAATTACGAGTAAACTTCAAATTGGTCATAAGTTGTCTGGGTCTTTTGCAAGTTCACGGCTACATAATAAGAAGAGATACCAGATTTCGACTTCAATAAAGCTGCTGTACAAGTCTACGAAAATTGTGTAATGCTGGTATTCGTCAAAACGAAAATAAACTCAATCTTTAAACTACTTTTAAGTCAAAAGAAGCTTTGCGTGACATTCGGGTGACCTTGGTCCTTAATTGAAAATCAGCTCTACAAGAACTTCCTTTCGAAATGAAGCGTAATTGAAACGTTCCCGGCAGAAATGAAGCAGGGAAAGGCTGCACATTTTTCGCTAGATTCGGCAGCTTGTCAAACTGATATGAATGAAAATCCTTCAGTGGGTTCGAGGTGGGTGTATAGGAAGTGACGCTTCAACGGAAATACGTCACTTTAATTTATGCAGCTCAAGCTTATTCCCCAAACCAAGATCCAAAAAATACTCCAGTGTAACAAGTATGGAGCTGCAATTACTTTAAAAATTGCATCAGCTACGAAAGTCTCAAAAGTATAAATGTTGCACCTAAAAATCAACGAAAGAATAACGCCAGGATGCAAACGCATAAAGCAGTTTCTTTTCTCGATCTGAAATACCGTGTGTATTTTAATCGTTGTTATTAGTCATCCAGACATGCTAATATATCCCCAAGATTAGATGAACGGTTTTCAGTTAAAATGAGTTGCATTTCTTCTCCAATAATTTTGAAAAAGGCTTTATTTCTTATTCCCTTAATCTAACATGCCAACAGTCCATATCACTTAAATTGAAAAAGGTGTGGATATCATTTAAGTTTATTCCGCTTCAGGGTGAGAAGGGAAACGAATTGATTAAGTAATATTACAAAAAATCTAAATTTAGAAGGGTAGTGTAATCGCCCTAGTGCAAGGGTTTTCCTTGATCGTGTTATATAAACGCTCGATTCTTTGAGTGGACCATGGATAACTCTGCAAATCTAAAAGGTGAAGTTGACGCAGGCAAAGCTCGACCATAAAGTATCACACGACAGAGAAAGAAGAAACGGTATCCCAATGGAAGGCACAATTATCAAGGTAAGTTTTTCTTTAACAATATTTTCTTTATTTTCCGAAATCCTACTGCATTTGATAACATGAACCTTACAAGAAGTTTTGACGGATGACGGAAAAAGGCCTGGCTATTACCTTAAGTCATGTCTACTCGATCCATTGTTGTAGATGTTAATTGTGGAGTTTCACGAGTTTCAACTACATCTTGTAATACTCAGTATACACTGCGTCGTTGAAAGAAGAATGGACCAGCAAAACTGCTTTGACACTCAACTTGAGCAAGTAGTATGTATCTAAAATCAGAACAGAAGGGAAAAAAACAGAAAAGATTCAATCCTAATTCTTGGAGCGCTTGGTGGCAAAATACATAAAACGGTAACAGCGAAGATTTTTCAGGGCACCTTTTAACCACTACTTTGTAAAATGAAACCGTAAAATTACCAACCTATATCATTATTTTCCGCAGTCAGAAAGACGCCGAATTCAATTGCTCCAAAATTTAAGATTACCCGATATTGGATGACCGAGATATAATATCCTTGGAGTATTTCGATTTTCATCCAACACCCGAAGAATCAAAGAAGTCAAAGTCAAATGGAAAGTTCATGAATGTGATTATTTCTCTATGTTATTGATACCAAAAGGATCTATCAACACTTATATTTATCCTCAGTTAAGATAACAATGCCAAATAACAAAATTTCGACTAGATACTAGATTAAGAGACAGACGAACACACTTGACCCTGGCCTGAAATTATTCGGTCATTTCGATTTCTTTCCAAAAACTTCCTCGATGTGTGGCCCGGAACAATATAACCCTTTCACAATTTAGTAAATAAACACCGATTGAAAGACCTAACCCTTTAACTCCCAAGATCTCCTTAGTAATTCTTTAACTGTCTGCCATTCAGTTCTTGTGAGGTTAGTTTGGAGAATCTGGTATTGGATCAACTTATAATCCCTAATTGATATTTTTCTTTATTCTCATCACTTGTCTGCTTGATATTGTATTGATATTGTAAGGAGAAATTCTGTCTTGGTCACTCATGGGAGTTGAAGGGTTAAGAGATTGTCCTTGGGTTTTTAGAAGAAACGTTCGCCTTTTGGGTTAACGAAGGAAAAAAAACACCGAACTCACTTCAAAATGTGATCCTAACATTTTTCAGTCTTAAAAGTAAATCGAAGATTTTCTGACCACGAACCAAAGACAGACCTCTCGTACAAAAAGCAGGCATTAATCAGCAAAGTTCAGAAGGCTTGCATTGACAAAAAAACATTACTGATGTTTATCGCACTCTTGCATTCTTATTTCAGGTCGCTGTTTATTTCATGATGCAGAGCATTATCATCCCTGTCACACATTCAAAGTTATTTCCTACCGATCAACTTCAAGGTTCGACATTACACGTTGTTCGGACTGCTCTCCCAGAAGAAAGAACACTAGAAGGTCACAAAAATACCTCAAAGACAGAATCATCGCAAGGCGAAACCGCTGAGGATGGCCAAAGGAAGTTCCTTTATGTTTTGAAGCGCCTCACACGCAGTGCAAATCACTGCGTGAAAAGCAGGACACAAAGATACAACAAGTGCCTTGGAAAGTATATCTCTGTCCCTAAATGTAAAACACTCAGCGTGGCTTGTCTATCAGCGACTAATGTTGCAGCTAAGTGCAAAAGGAAATATACAGTTGTCAACGGCATAAACGGTCGAAGATGCTTAATCAAGGACTGCTCATGCGCTGCGTGACGTCATTCTATGCATACAACATGTTTAACTCTTACTTTGTACCTGATGTAATAGTTTTCAATTTTGTTAAAGAGGCACTAGATTTAATCAAATCCTTCCCAGAATTTACGATAAAAAACTGTAAAGTAATAACAGTACTAGTAAAAATGTTCAGTAGGCTGCAAATGCGCAGTATGAGAATTAAGGTAAACTAGAATCACTATCTGATGTTTGTTGTCCTTCAAGGATAGGGAAGCTTACGTTACAAATTCACGAGAATGTAGAAATTCTATCGTCACACTCCTTTGTTTATTAATCGCCAAATGTTGGAGAAGATTTATTGTTATATTTTCTGATTTATTATTGCTATATTATTATTTATTGTTGTTATATTTTCTGATTTATTTATTGACAAGTTAGTTCGTCTTGAAAAAAAATATATTTATTGCCATTACGCGCCATAGGTTGGATTATTGTAATGTATTACCATGAATGTAAAGTTGTCTCTTTTGCTTGATTAAAAGGAGATATTGATTATATTCCAGTCTATTTGTTGACTTACGAAAATCAATTACAACTACTTGATTCACAGAAAGTTCCAGGCGATCGTTTAAAGAGAGGTGAAAAGCTCTTTAGAGCGTATGGACGTAAATTGTTCTTTTAAGTACATGCAAATTAGACTTCTTGGCGTCGCTTTTGAGTGAAAATTCTGTTTGTTTGTGAGTATATTTTTGTTTTGTTTTGTTTTTTAAATATTGGCAAGGCTAGGAAAGCTAATTTACATGCATAAAATATAAGAACATTTTGGCTTGCTATTTATGAAAGAGGTTTACACTCGGTGAAATATCAAATTTTAATCCCGAAAGTCCGCAAGCTCAGCAAATAAATGCAATTCAATCTCTCTGTTGGTTTCTCAGAGACAAATTTCCCTTCAATAGCTCAAGTTTCCCTAAAACAGAAACCCATTACTAGGATAGACGAGGAAATTTCACCCTCGCTGTAATGGCGAAGATCTGGAAGGAATGTTTGCCGTTACCAAGACCCCTAACCGAAAGCACCAGATTGTTTTCCCGAAGAAAATATACCAAAAAGATTACTTTTTTTTCGTTTGAGCTAAGTAGTGCTCCGGTACAAAACATACTGGGGATTTGAAGGCCTGAAATAGTGTCCATATTTTGGCTCAACTGAATACTTATTGTTTCGGAAATTCAACTTATCAAGCATATAACTCAAGCCACTAATTGTAGCCTGTCTTTTGGCTCTGCGGGTAAGTTGTGGAGAGACCCCCTCGGGTCTCGAATGAGACACCTTCTGAATAGCTTCCCGTCTATAAATAAGTGCTCCAATTACCCACATCCCCATTCCCCCCCCCCCCCCCCCGCCCTTATCAGGGTCCGACTAGAAAGTTTACGCTATATTATATGGGTACATACAAGCTCAATTCAAGTTCTCTTTTCGTAGCGCGTACTGGTTCAAGTGTTGTGAATCTGCGTTGGTATAAATAATTTCTTGGCCCAAAACCTCAAAACCTTCATCGAAAGTTTACAAAAGAGGAACACGTCTTGCCACAATTGTGTTGGGCGACAGATTTCAAGATGGCAATGAAATTTTGATCATTTCTTACAAGGCAAGTCCTTATTTCAGCCAACTTTTTAATGCGACAGACGGTAGACGAGCGAGTAAGCCGAGCACCCATAATACGTTTTCCTTTCGACCACGAACCTCACTAGAACTCCAGGAAAATGTTTTTCTACGTTTTTATTTTCGAAAGATATTGATGCAAACAAATGGTTCCTGCTTTTTCATTTCTCCATGCCAGAATCGTTTCTATTATCTTCCTCGATTGATCACTTGCTGTTCTTTTTCCGGTTCTTGTTTTTACGACCGTGCCAGCTTTGATACCGAATTATTACATCGTGTTCAGAAGAATAAAGTCAGTGTTGAAACAGTTCGAAAATGCAACCACGTTGCACAACATTAAATCACATTGAGTTTAAGTTAGAAAATACATACCGTTTACTTCACTTCTATGACGTGGGTGTCTAACAAGGGATTTCCGATAAATATTTGGGGTTCACTCAATGTTGTTCTCAGAAAGTGAATTAAATTTTTCCGTCTTACCTTACTACCGCATTCTCGGAAACTGTTAAAGTTTCAGCAAGATTGGATCTACCTGCCGCTAGGTTAGAAAAAGACCAATAGTTCTTACTTCTTATACCTGACCTCTCAAACACATCAAACATTTATTAAAGAAAAGAAATTTAAACGACGATCGAGCAATTTTTGTTTGACTACGTCTCGTAAATGTGTAGAAACTTGAGGCTTTACTCTCAAATCACTCGATAAAACATGGCTGAACGGTTTTATCTCCTGGGGACCAGATTAAATTTATAGATCAAACAGACTCTTTTCATGTGCAGAAATTACGCAAGGATTCAGTGCCGCTGTTTTGTGCGTCATTATGTCGTTTTAGCAAGATCTTCCGCAATTTTTTGACCATTTTCTGCCGGTCTTCTCTTTCTTGTATTCATTGTTAAGGAAGCTTTATTATAGGATATTTATAATAGTGCTGTATAATTTAGGTAAGTGTTCCTTTTTATGCAATAAACTTAGCAGTAACTTAACCAAGGTCGCAATCGGGTTTGAAGTTTGTCAACTGGCCCAGGTTGATAGGAGTTACATTGAAGGGAATCCCCTGAAGATTCACTTACTCTACTTTCCGCAATTTTTTGACCATTTTCTGCCGGTCTTCTCTTTCTTGTATTCATTGTTAAGGAAGCTTTATTATAGGATATTTATAATAGTGCTGTATAATTTAGGTAAGTGTTCCTTTTTACGCAATAAACTTAGCAGTAACTTAACCAAGGTCGCAATCGGGTTTGAAGTTTGTCAACTGGCCCAGGTTGATAGGAGTTACATTGAAGGGAATCCCCTGTGCATATCAAAATATTTGCATTACATGAAAAAAAAACATTTACCGCATTATTTGAAACAACAAAGAACACAAAACAAGGCGAAGGAGGGCGTAGAACATTTTACGCCATTGCATGTAAAGAAGATTCACTTACTCTACTTTCCGTTACATGGGAAGTTCACTTCGTTTTTCCAGGCACAATAAACGAGGAAGATGTGCGCCATATTGATGGCAAAGAACTGAAGAGGATGTTGTTACATCATAGCTGTTTGTAGTTGCTCATGCATTTCATGGTAGCTTGCGTTCAAATTGGTTGCTCTATTTTCGAGCGCAAGCTGATTTTCTAAAAATGTCTATTCCCATGGATTGTATATAAGGTGGACCTGCAGTTGATTTGGTACATATATCAAGAGACTCTTCGATATCAAGACTGAAAAATCCATCGAGGAACTTATTGCAACGTTGCAAACAGACCACTGATCATGATGCTTAACCATTTCAAGGTATGTTTCATTGCTTTCTCTCATAATCCAAAGAGACAGTCGCCATCTTCAGTCTCGATATTCCTCTGTCTTCCTCGTTCCTCCGAAATAGGATGAGGACAGAAATGAATTGGTCCGCAAAAAAAACTCTCATCATTTACATATCTTCGTGAAGGCTTTTTCTATTATCAGCTTTTAAAACTCACGTCTCTTTTCAGCGATGTTCACGGTACATTACATGTCTCTCTCTTAGAAACAGTCAATAGACGTATAAGCGCACGCTACTTTTGCCTTTAAAAAAATATTCTGGCGGTTTAATATTCTTAAGGCCGTCAGTCCTCTTTTATACCGCGTCTCCCGCAGCGATATCCTTAAGATTTAGATTAGAAGTGCCTAAGAACTAGTTACTCATTAGTCTTTGAATTGAAATCTTGTAGATTGTTCACACCATAGATAATTCGAAGGATAATTGCTCTTAATCATGATGTTGAAGAGTCGAACCTTATTAGTTGGGCGACCGACTATAGGTTTACCCTCGGATTTCTCCATAAAGCTCAGTCACGTGCAATGGGGAATACCGCAGACACGTAATAGAGGCGCAATCTTCTTTCCACCATGTCGAACATGGTTGATTTGTCGAATATCTTAGTGAATGGTGTCATCTTTTCTACGCTCAAGCATACAGACCCACACACCGTTCGCGGTAGACCCTAAGATGGCTTGTGTAATGAGCGTATATTTCGAAACGGGTTGTTCCGCGAACTCAAAATAGCAAAAGAATCAAATGATTTAGCGAAGGTCTCACTAGCTATAAAAGCGGGAATCTTCAAAAGCGGGAATCTTTAAAACGGGCAATCTTTCAAAGCGGGAATCTTTAGAACGGAAAATCTTTAAAAGCGGGAATCTTTAAAACGGGGAATCTCTAAAAGCGGGAATCTTCAAAATGGGGAATCTTTGAAAGCGGGAATCTTTAAAAACGTAACGATTTTTTTGGCAAATGGCAGTGTCACTCGATTATCATTTCTTTTATCCGCCTGAAAGATAGGTCAGTTATCAGCCCTGTAAGCAATCATGATTGAATACTCTGATCTACATCATTTTCCGGTATAATCTTCAGGGTTCAAAATAACAGCCGGCTGCCGTTTTAAAAGCTTTCTGGAAACGTAAACAAGTAAAAGGTTTCGAAATTTCAATTTGCTACAGGGAGCATTTTTGGTTACAGTATTCAGATTTTACGTATTTGTTCAAGGGTGAAACATGCAAGTTTGTGTCCATACCGTCAATTTACCATGTTTATGTTTCTGCACGTACATACTACTTTTAATCAAGATTGATTTTCCGCCAAATCCTGTCCAAAAATATGTGACAGTGTGTTGTTGTAGAATTGGTGCCTCTCAGGGGGGAAAACATTTTACGCCACGCCCACAAACCAGGACCATGGTACCTCGACCTCTGTATTTCTTTTAGAACCACTGCGCACCGTGAATGGTCAACACTTGTAACAGCGCGTCTACCTGTAGCCCGACTTACGATCTTAGATCGTCTTGTTTTGATGATATATTGTATTTTTTGTACGTTTTTTATGTTTTATTTTGCTATAAGTTTTAAAGAGGAAACAATTCGAG